CAGCTAAAATAAATTCGGCTAATGAGACTGAAAGTTGAAGGTTGCCAACATTGCAAGATAAGTCAAACCAACCTAAAAGGAAATTGCAGCTAAATTTTTTCAGAGATTATGTCTGAGTAGTTTTTTCATCCTCTTTAGAACGGTTAAAAATATCTAGGTGATGAGTGTCATTTTAAATATGAGTTTTGGTTAAAGAATCAAGACCAAAATATGCGAGAATATATTATGAAAACCTGTCCGTTTAGTGTTTTTTGACTTTTTCGCGTAATATATTTGGTGCTAGCAATAGACTTTGAAATAAGCTTAAAAAATCAGTTTGGTCAGAACATTTTACATAATTAAATGCACACTTTCGTTATTGCTTACATTCGCAACCTAGACAAGTTGTCATACTGGCTCTGTATTTCCATTAAGCAGAAGAATGCCATTCTAAAAGCCAGTCCGGTAAGCAGCAATATTCATTACATAAAAAAACAGTTTTCATGTTGAAGATGTCTCCTTCATTACAACAGTAAGTTAGCAATCTGTATAGTATTGAATAATGTATTAGATGAACATAATAAAGAACATAGGGAAAACCTGATATAATTCATTGGTGATAGACAGTGAGAAGCTTCTGTCTACTCCGATTTTGTATAAAGCTATCCATTTAGGATAGAATAAATTATTCTAGCTAAAATTTAGATATGAAGTTTAAGCGACTATGATGAGTCATGATAATGTATTTGTTAAGTCACAACGGATTTAATATTTCCATTTTGTTGCCCATTCATTTAAAATCTTTAATAAAAATTCAAATTTTCTAGAAAGTAAGAAAAATAGAACTGAGGCTATTTCAATTAATTGTAAATCCCCACTAGATAGCATACAGTTAGGCATCGTTCATATCTAGTCAGAATGGGCAAAAACTAATTCAAATAAAAGACTCACGAGAGAAAATGAGTCGCCTTGGAAGTTAATTGCAATTGTTCAGGGTGACTTTGGCTTCGGAGGCCAGATGGGCCAGCATCTAAAGCCATGGACGAAGTGTAGAACTTCGATGAGATAAGGCCAGCTGCCTGCGAGACTCCTTCGAGGGAAGATTCAAGAAGCCCGAGGCGCCGTTTTTGTGAATGGGGCTGACCAGGGAACATTGTTCCAGTAACTTTGTCACCAAAAAAAGTATTCGGAGAATCAGAGCCTGGAGTATGCTGGGTTGCACCAATATGAGAGTGAAATAAAGTAGATTCATCAACTGAGCAAAGTTTTCGATTGCGTAGGCAAGCTCGTTTTGAGAGTTGCGTTTCAAACAAGGTTCCATCAACACAACAAATTTCGTTATCATCTTGCTCCCCTTCCAGATAATCCTCTTCTTCATATTCTTCAGTTTCCTCCCTCTCTACCTTATGCAACGAATCGCTTTGATCTTCATCTTGGAGGAGCTCGTTACCCTCTAGTTGACTTCGAGATAAGTCAAGACGATGCCTCAAGGTCGGACAGCTATGTTTGTGTTTGAAAAAGCTGACAGGGCTTCCACTCTCCTCGACATCAGAAATGTCTTCTAGTTGATCATGTGTCAATTCTACATAAGTTGCCTCAACACTATTGTCAATCTGTTTATCTGAAAAGACTTTCTTGTCTGCGTTATGGCTGTAACAAGGGGCTAAAGTATAAAAATGGAAGTGGGGAAGTATAAATTAAAATCTGAATGCCAAAAATGGGCAGTAAATGATAAAAAATATTCACTAGAAGATATGATGTGATCTATATTTAAAATGTTGTCACCCTAAAGTTATTAAGGAAATAATCAGGCATGGAGGTGGTGTAGAAGAAGTATGAACTCGTACTCCCAAAAATTCACTTAGAAGAGGACAAAAAATGGCAAAGTGGAGTTCCGATGCCTATGCTTTCGTCTGCCATATGATGGATATCATCAGAAGAGGGAATCATTCGTACAGCCATATTCAAATTAGCGAGTCAAGAAAACTCGTCGGTTTAGCATTAATGCTTTTATCCTATACCTAAGCTCTGTGATGAGGTATAAAGTGATTTCGTTATTTCAAGATTAATGTCAACCTCGAATCATGTGAGTTTGTGTGTCTATGTGTTTTTATGTGTCTTCATGTGTCCGTATATGTATGAAACCACCAGTGATTTTTCTAAGTAATTAGAACAGAAAACTAAGTCTTATCGGCTGTCAAGGTTCGATGATAACCATCACCCTCTTAATATATACATATATATATATATATATGAATGATTAAGTGTTCTGATTATGTCCATTATATGACGGACGAAATCGTAGAACGTTTTCACTGAAATAGAAGTAGATTGCTTCGGAATAAGCGTCAACAAGAAAGTTCTGGTAAAGTCAATCGATAGCTAATCAAGAGGAATGCAACGTCTTCTTCTAGTGAGATCAAGCTCCGAATCCCTTCACTAAACACTTTCAATCAAAATGGAAGATAGCTCAATAATAATATAATTTAGCATATTATTACAAGGCAAAAAGTTTAAGAAAAAACTCAATAGCAAGGCGTGAAGCTAGACTAAGAAAACAAGGAAAACTAAATACAATGGAAAGTAACGCCTGCATTCTACAACGATTAAAACGTCTTGGTAATCTTACAACCATATTCGAGGA